TGTAGATGTCTCATCATTCACTAATAAACACTCTACAGCCATTACTGAACATGTTGTCTTGAAATCTGTGGTTTCAACTGCTTGTACTGTAGCCTGTACCGAAGGAGAAGACATTTCTTCTGTACATTTCTGCATCATTGCCTCGATGTCGATCGGCATCCTTGAAAGTCCATCAGCATCGCAATTTTCTCTGCCTGGTCGGTATCTGATTGTTAGGTGAAAGTCGGCTAGTTCAGCAACCCACCTATATCCAGTGGCATTCAGCTTGGCTGTAGAAAACACATACGTTAATGGATTGTTGTCCGTATATACAGTGCAAGATGAGCCAATCAGGTAGTCCCGAAACCTTTCTGTCACCGCCCACTTCAAAGCGAGGAATTCCAACTTCCCTGAATGGAGGTGATAGTTTTTCTCTGCTTTGGTCAGGGTGCGAGATGCATACGCTATAACTCGTAGCTTCCCCTCCTGTTCTTGATATAACACAGCACCTAAACCTTGATTAGAAGCATCTGTGTGAAGGATGAATGATTTGTTGAAATCTGGAAATCCAAGTATTGGTGGTTCAACAAGACAGTCAATCAGTTTTTCCAGTATCTGTTGATGTTTGTCAGTCCATGTGATTGGTTTGTGTGAAGGGACTCCTCTGTGTTTACCTTTCATTCTCCTTGTCCTTGAGTTGTTTTCCTTCTGTTCTTTGGTTTCAGAATCCCCTTCCAGCAAGGCATACAGAGGTCCGGCTATGCGGGAGAAGTCTCTTATATACTGTCGTAGTAGCTCAGTAGTCCCATGACAGCTCTCAGCTCTCCCACAGTCTTTGGTTTCTTCTCCTTTAAAGCTCTGACAGCAAGCGTATCAGCAGGGTCCATTTTGCTGCCCTCTGCAGATACAATACGTCCTAAATAACGAACCTCACGCTTGAAGACTTCACACTTACTTGGTTTCAACTTTATCCCATGCTGACGTAGTCGCTGTAACACTGTTCTCACATCCTCAACATGGTCCTCAAATGATTTGCTAAAGACAAGCGTGTCATCCAGGTATGGTATGCAGATCTCATCACGCAGCCCTTCCAAACATTCTTCCATACATCGCTGGAAGGCAGCTGGGGCATTCATCAAACCAAAGGGTATTCGAATCCATTCATAAAGACCCCAAGGTGTCACAAAAGCTGTCATAGGTCTGCTTTCTTTAGCCATGAAGCCCTGATGGTAAGCTTTACCTTGATCTAAGAGAGAGAACCAGGAATTTCCACCTAGGCCATCCATGATGTCTTGCACTCTGGGAATCGGTTGGCGATCAGGAAGGGTTTTCTTGTTCACTTCACGGAAGTCAATACACAGCCGCAGAGTTCCATCTTTTTTTCGTACACAAACAACTGGTGATGCATACGGTGAGTTTGACTTCTCCACCCAGCCTTGTGCGATGAGGTCATGCAAGTAATCTTTCATCTCTCTGTAAAGTGGCTTAGGTACAGAGAGGTATGTTTTTGCGACAGGTTCAGTGTCTTTCAGAGATATGCTGAGTTGCAGTTTCTCTATGCAGCCGATATCATCATCTGTTTTTGAGAATGAAGCCGACTCCTCTCTCAACATCTGGTGAGCTATCGCCTTCTCGGGTTCGCTGAGGTGGCTCAGATTCACAGGTGGGTCCCATAAATTGTCATTACTGTGTTTCTTTTCAACTCTGATGTGATTCATAGTTGCTGGAGGTGGAGGGCGGCAACCCTCTAGCATGGAAGCTGGATAAACTGCCTGAATCTGCTGCACAGTCCCAATCACAGTCCTTCCTGCCAGCACTATGTCATGGTCTGTAGGATTCTGTACACTAACAGTAATAGATGGTTTATTACCTTTTCCCACTTTTACAAGCGTGTCACAGAATTGAAGTCCCTCAGCCCAGCGTGGGTTCACATCTGGCTCAAAGATAAGTGTTGTATCTTCATCTGGTGCAGACACATTTACATGGCACTCAACTTTGACAGACATGTGTTTTGGTATGTTGATCCTGTCTTTTTTTGTCTTCACAACATATTCATGATTTTGCTCAACACTTACTTGCTGTACAAAGGCTTCTGCTTGGTTTGGCTTGAGATCAGGGAATGCTGCCCTCACTGCGTGACTGAGGCGTTCTCTGTTGTTAGAGCTGGACTGTTTTGATTCACTGTTTATAATGAGATCGATAACATTAGAGCCAATTATGGGACGAAACAGATTGTTACCTTTCATCACAAGTGTTGGAACTATAACTTCTGTGGTGACTGCTTCTCCTGGAGCTAGTCTGAAAGTCATCGCCACCCAGCCTGCATATGGTATATTCTCACCATTTGCTGCCACAATGTCAAGAGTATCTGCACTGTCCAGAATTTCAGAAATGTCTCTCAGTCTCAAGTCTGGTACGTGTTCTTGTTTCCATTGTTCATCCATTATTGTTACTTGGGAACCTGAGTCCCACAAAGCTTGAACTCTTTCATGTTGAATGTAACAGTCGATCACATATTTTTTTCCTACCAGAGGAGCCACTTTTGCTTGTTTTCTTCCTTTTGAGTGAGTGTTCACAGTCATACATGCAAATGGCACACATTTTTCTTGGTGCACAGCCCAACCATTAACTTGACATGACTTAGAACAGTAGAGTTCATTTTTACATGATGCACATTGTTTCAGTCTCATCTCTTCACCTTCTTTCCCACAGTGAGCACAGTGCTGGGACCTCTCTGTATGACTGGTCACTCCCTGTCCCGCGCGAGCGACCTTTCCCCGTTTAAAGGGTCACCTCCAACATGTCTTTGTCCTCTAGCTCGACAACCAGCCAGGAAATGCTCACTTCTGCCGCACCTGAAACAGTGTGTACAGTAGTCCTCAGCTCCCCGCTGTTGACAGCTAAAACATCTCCTCATACGTCTCTGATTTTGTGGTGGGAAGCTGCGCTGTGGGGCAAACTTTTGCTGATACTGTGCAGTCTCACCTCTCTGTCCGGGGCCAGGCGTGTACCAGTATCTCTGGGGCAATTCTTGCATCTGATGACCTGGGAACTGCTGAGCTGATGTGCCATCCAATCCTCTTGTTTGAGGCTGCTGATCTCTATACATGTACTGGGGCTGCTGCATAGACTCTCTTATCAGGGATACTTCGGCTTTAAGATCTTTCAGCAAAGTCATTTCAGACCTCATTTCTTCAAGCTGAGTCAATACAGTTGAGGGAATTTTACCTGAGTTCTGTTGAGTTGATGATTTTTCATTCTTTTCAACAGGAGCAGTGTTGGACTGGGCTGAGTGAATATTTATAGGACGTTGTTGTCCTAACAGCTTCCTTTTATTTTGGCTCTCCGTCTCATAAGCACATGCTGTGTTCATTCGCTCAAGTAACAGTTCATCAGAGATGTCAGTTTGTTCAAGGTATGGTCGAAGGTCACGTTTTATGTTATCATTTTGTAGCCCAGTTAACACAGTGTGAAGAAACATGTTCTGTACTAAACCTGGGTCATATTTGAGGCCTGACTCTGCTTCTTGTGAGGCAAACAAAATCTTTTGTCTGAGGTCAAAAGCACGAATGAGGAAGTTCTGCGGAGTTTCTTTGATGCCTTGAACTTCTGAGGTCAGCTGTTTGTAGAGTTCGGTTGCACTCTTTTCCTGGTAATGAGAACGAAGTATCCGTCTTAATGTGGGTAAGGTCAAGTTAGCTTTTCCCTCTATGTAGCTACGAATTTGCATGCCAGGGGAGATTGCTTTTATCACGGCATCCACAATCTCAGATTCTGGAACTCCTTTGCTCAAGCCATGTTCGATTTGTCGAGCTAAACTTGAAAAAGTGAGTCTCTCCTTCTGTCCAGGCTCACCAATTTGACCAGATATTTTAAAGTCTTTATGCCAAGGTGGATGACAGTGAGATGCGCTCTGTGTAGATGTTCTGCTAGAAGCCTTGTTGTTGATATCTCTATTTTCTTGATCATCTGTTTTCCCGTGCCCCTGTGTTGTCGTCAACTGAAGCTGCAGAGCCTCAATTTCTTTCACTAGTCTTTCTTCTTCTTGATTTCGTTCTCTTTGTTGCTCTGTTAATTGTGTTCCTTGGGCATTTATCTGTCCTGATTTATCTTTCTTTTCAGCTACCTGGAGCTCAGAAATTGTGTCTTGTAGATGGAGTAAGTCAGACATACCTTTGTCCTCCAGTTTCTCTAACTCCGCTCTCTGGATGTGGTTTGAAATGAGTGTGATGAGTGCTGCACGACCCTTGCCAGTGACATGCTCAAATTCTGGGCCTGCGATGAAGAGATTGTCACATAATTCCACCAAAATGGCTCTGGACAGCGCACACAATCCTCCTATTATTTCAAGCTGTAACTTCTCTAACTCTGATGAATCCATCTTTCAACAGAAGGTGTCTGGGTTAAGTAGTGCCTTTGACCTTTGAGGAGTGGTAGTTGCCCTCCTAGTATGTCGTGATACCTCAGATTGCATGCACACTTTTCTCAGGTGTCGGGATACCACTGCAGCCGGTTCACCTCCTGCTCTCGATGTCTGGTAGATGTAAAAGGGCTGTACGATGCTCTGGGACATCAATCTCGAGTAGACACTGGCCCAGGCAACACACAATCCCAGCGGTGCCTCCAAATGTTACACCCCTGTACAGCGTACTGTAAGGGGAGAAATAAAGAAGAAAGAAACAAACACGTTGTTGCTGGCTTTCATTCAATGGTGTAATGAATGACGCTCAGACAACACGCTCCCCCTGCTGGCGTAAAACCGGAAGTGTAAAACAATAACAAAAGCTTAAGACCAAACCAATCAATTACCGATATGCTTTTAAACTTAACCTTAGCAGCATGAATTAACATTAAATTATAACTAGCTTTTTAGCATTTTTAAAGGATATACAACATTTTAGAAAGACATAGTTTTAACATGTGTTATTAATTTAACTTAGTGCACAATCTTATATCCATTACAGTTGCAGAGTGGTGCTTGAAATGGAGACTAGTGGCAAATGAAGACAAAACACAAGTAGTACATTTCAGGCAAAAATCATGAGTAAGAAGTCCATTTATTTTTAATTTATGCACAACAGTGCTATCATATGCTGATCAATATAAATATCTTGGCTTGACATTGGATGAACACATGACTTTTAAAGAAGCTATGAGTGTTTTGACTCAGTCAGCTGGTCGAGCTCTGGGATCTGTACTGAACAAAGTTAAACACTGTGGTAATCTGGGATTTCAGATTTATACACAACTCTATCATTCATGTGTGTGTCCAGTGTCAGATTATGCTTCTGGTGTCTGGGGGTTCCTGGAACATCTAATTTGCAATTCTGTACATCAGAGAGCTCTGAGGTCCTTCTTGGGAGTCCATAAATTAACGCCAGTCCTTGCTGTGAATGGAGATATGGGATTGGAGCCTCCAAATATCAGACATAAATGTGAAATGCTTCGGCTTAAGTTAACTTGTGATATTCAGGAGATAAAGAATAATATGTTTGTTATGTACAAAGAGAAATGGTATGTAGATATATGGTGCAAACCAAAACTAAGAACGTATTGTCTCATAAAGGATTGCTACAGTGTAGAAGCCCATGCTAAATTTAATTTATCCCTGAAAACTCACCTCTTCAACACCGCCTACAACCACTAACTGATCAACTCTTATTAACAGCATCCTAAGCTGAGCGGTTATGGCCTCAGAAAGTTAAAAATGTATTAAATCAAAGAATTACCTAAAAGAACAATATATATACTGTATATACAAACATCTGTTTTTATATATTAATATCACTTTTAAAACAGATGTTTACAAAGTGCTTTGACTTCATAACAATGAAGTCTCTGAGGACAAATTCCTTCTGGTGCTCCATCTTCATGATACATGTATCCTCATGGCACAAGTTCAATTTACCTTCAAAAGACCGCTGAGTTTATATACACTCGTATACCCTTAATGTGTCCTCAGAAACCCTTGATGTGTTCTCATATACCGTACATGTGTTGTCATATACCGTTGATATATTCTCATATACCATTGATGTGTTATCATATACTGTTGATGTGTTCTCATTAACAGCTTCTTGTTTTGGTTGTTGTAGTTTATCTGGGAAACAAAGAGCCGAACCTAATAGATTAATATGAGTAGGTAGATATTTATATATTTACATGATAAGTAAAGGGTGCATTTCAAGCAGAGGAATTCTTACCTGTCCCTTTTTGCTGAGGTTTGTTGTTGGCTCTAAAATGTAGAATAATTAATAAATTAATAAATATTAAATATTTCCAGATAGATGCTTGTGATCATCTCAATTAATAGTTGTCTATTTGAAAGTACTGTTACTGAGCTCATTATGTTTAATCAATAATCAAGGCTAGTCAGTTCAAATTACAACATAACTGAACAACAATTCATTAAGAAACAAAAATGTCTGACTTGTTATGATATGAAGTTATTACACTCACTTCTTTATATAAAATGTGTCCTGTCATTGTGTCAACCTGAATCTAGTTTAACATTTTCTGTCTGCTTTTTCCTCTGAACTCACTCGTGTCTTCTCAGATCCCGACTCTCCCTTCTGTTTTGCAGCAATCTTTGTTTTTACACCACCTCCATTTTTACATCTTCTGAGCTGCACACTTGTCATAAAATTCAACTCTCCTCCAGTCGCTTTCAATTTCGAGTGTTTGAGCAACGCTCTTTAACTACACAAACCCATCACTGTGTTTTTAAACTTCTGCCCTTTGTGCTGCTTCATAAGCGGATAAGTCTTCCTAACTCTCTGGTAGGCTGGCTGGTATAAACTTCAACAGTTTTCTAACAACTAGTAATAATGAACTATTACATTCAAACACACTGGGATGAAAAAACAAGCTTTCCCAGTTACATTTCAAAGACCTTTTAACTTACTTCTTTTTGTAGATAAAGTATCCTGCAGCAGCAGCTGCTCCAGGGATCACCAAACATGCAATTACTATTCCAGCGATACAACCACCACTACAGCGTGATGGTACTGGAAAGGATACCAAGAAAAGAGGAGGACAAGAACATATTCTGTAAACAGGAACTGTGCCATACTAACAGCAGATCCAAAGCATTCATTGACTTCCCCTGATTTCTACCGACAGATTATTGATGCACTATGGGTAATGAACCAGATTCAGTTTTAACAAGGTAAATGAATGCTTGGAATAAAAACCACAAAATCTCTGGATCTCTTATCATTAATTTGAATACTATTTAAAGAACTTTAAGACTCACAATTTTAATCTGTAGAAGTGCATTTCTAAATTTGACCATTTTCAGAGAATCCTTCAGTAATATATTGGGGCGCTGATAGCCTAGGCATGAGCTCCATATACAGAGTCTATAGTCCTCCAAGCGGGCGGCTGGTGTTTAAATCTGACCTGTGGCTGCTTTTCCTCATGTCTTCCTCACTCATTTCCTACTCTATCCATTGTCCTATAATAAAGGCCAAAAGCTCATGAACTGAAAATAGATCAGACATATTTAATTGGTCAAATTGATCTCAAAGACATGTCACACCAACAGAATCTACAATAAACACCGTCTTGTTACCTATTACAGTCACTCCATGCACTGAAGAAGATGATCTTCCAGTTATGATATTCTTTGCTTGACAGATGTAGTTTCCACTGTCGGACGCTTCAGCGTTCTTTTTAGTGTACTCAGGAGAATTGAGTATCTCTGTCCCATTCAGTAACCAGGTGAAGTTTGGAGGTGGTTCAGACTCGGCCTCACAGGTTAATGTGAAGATGATCTTCCAAAAATATGTGATGCTGGCCTTCGATTTGAGCGTTTTCTGGTCCGTCTGATAAACAGTTATAATTTAAAAAAAATGTAATTCAATGTGTAACAGGCAAAAATAAGTTGTGTTTTAATGGCATATTTGTATTATGACGCTCATTATTTTGAACAGTTAATGAGTACAGTAGTTTGTCACCTACAGTTCACAACCAAGACGTGTTTAGCTTCCATGGAGTTGATGGGGTTGCTGATATTACAGGAATATTCTCCTCTGTCTGTTTTTTTTAGACGTTGAAAAGACAGAACTCTGTTGTTATCGTAAAGTATAATGTCAGTTTGAGTTAGATCAGATCCATCCTTCATCCACTTTCTGGTAAACACGGAGCCAGCAGTGTCACAGGTTAAGATGACAGAGTTCCCCTCTATTGCCTCCTCTGGTGATTGTGTGATAGAAGGATTTGATATTCTCTCTGTTGGACAACAGATCACAGAAACTTTTTAAATGTATAAAGAACAAAAACACAGGTTCAGCTATAGATTAACAATCAATTTAAATATTGAACAGCAACGTTGTGAAACTTACAGTTTCATTAACTGTAAGTCTCACAATTTTAATCTGTAGAAGTGCATTTCTAAATTTGACTATTTTCAGAGAATCCTTCAGTAATATATCGGGGCGCTGATAGCCTAGTGCATGAGCTCCATATACAGAGTCTATAGTCCTCCAAGCGGGCGGCTCCTGTTTAAATCTGACCTGTGGCTGCTTTTCCTCATGTCTTCCTCACTCATTTCCTACTCTATCCATTGTCCTATAATAAAGGCCAAAAGCCCACAAACAATCAATCTTTAAAGTCTCATGAACTGAAAATAGATCAGACACATTTAATTGGTCAAATTGATCTCAAAGACATGTCCCACCAACAGAATCTACAATAAACACCGTCTTGTTACCTATTACAGTCACTCCATGCACTGAAGAAGATGATCTTCCAGTTATGATATTCTTTGCTTGACAGATGTAGTTTCCACTGTCGGACGCTTCAGCGTTCTTTTTAGTGTACTCAGGAGAATTGAGTATCACTGTCCCATTCAGTAACCAGGTGAAGTTTGCAGGTGGTTCAGACTCGGCCTCACAGGTTAATGTGAAGGTGTCTCCCAAAGATATGTGATGCTGGCCTTCGATTTGAGCGTGTTCTGGTCCGTCTGAAAAACAGTTATAGTTAAAAAAAATGTAATTCAATGTGTAACAGGTAAAAATAAGTTGTGTTTTAATGGCAGATTTGTATTATGACGCTTAATATTTTTGAACAGTGAATGAGTACAGTAGTTTGTCACCTACAGTTCACAACCAAGACGTGTTTAGCTTCCATTGAGTTGATGGGGTTGCTGATATTACAGGAATATTCTCCTCTGTCTGTTTTATTTAGACGTTGAAAAGACAGAACTCTGTTGTTATCGTAAAGTATAATGTCAGCTTGAGTTAGATCAGATCCATCCTTCATCCACTTTCTGGTAAACACGGAGCCAGCAGCGTCACAGGTTAAGTTGACAGAGTTCCCCTCTATTGCCTCCTTTGGTGATTGTGTGATGAAAGGATTTGATATTCTCTCTGTTGGACAAAAGTTCACAAAAACGTTTTAAATATATGACAGAGAAAAACACAGGTTTAGCTATAGATTAACAATCAATTTAAATATTAAACAACAACAAGGACTTTGAGCTTTTCCATGAAATGTGTTTTCCATCTAATTGAATGTCATTGTTTAAAAGGTTTCACCTCAAGTCTTAATGAAATCTTTTAACCCGTGGTAACTTTTTCTGTATGGTTATAATGCTATAACCACTCACTATTCATTTCTGAATGATATTACTGATGTAATGAGTATTAGTATGAATTTAAATACTAAAAATGTTTAATGGTTACACCTTATCATATCTGATGACTGGTTCTTGGTGCAATGATTAACCAGTGTGGAGCCTCTTCCCTATTCACTATCAGCACTGGTAAACTGTTTGGTAATGTTAGCCTAACAAACAGACACAGTTGGAAAACTATTATCTAAACTCCAAACAAAACAAAGAAAGATTTGTGAAAGGATTTATACTTGGTGGGTTAAATAGATCATAATTAAGAGTTCCCGTTTCAGCACATGAAGTGCATTCACATGTTGATCGGGATTAAATGCGACTTCATTTGTGCATAAATTGTTTTTGCTGCGCTGCCAGTTATGTTATATAAAAGTTATATATTTTGACAGTTTGTTATTGTAATTCAAATCTTTTTTTGATAGGGGACCAAAAACATAATATTGAACATTCATGACTAAATGTGCAGCAGTTATACTTGTATACTTGATGCTTGATAATCCAACCAGAAAAAACAAACTAAAGCATAAGGAAACAAACAAACAAACATAGAAAGCCAACATATTTCATCAGGTTTTGATCAAAAGAGTCTCAAATCTTCATTTTACCACTAAAGGTGATGCTATTACATCATCATGTGGGCACCACACAGGTCTTTAAATGTAAATGTTTCCACTAGTTTTGTTCTAGTATTAAGTACAAACATGTAGAGAATCATTAATAACATATTCTGATTTTGTTTTAACTGGTATGTGTTGAACCTACTTTACAGATCTTCCATTAAATCTCTTAACAGCTTAACATGTTTATTTATTGCTCTACTGCTGTGCATAATCTCCATTCAGCACTCTAACAGATGTATCAAGTGAAACATTGTCTTACCGTAAACTCTCAGTGTGGGTCTGCCTTCAAACTCACTCACAGTTGTAATCCTGACTGTGTATTCTCCACTGTCATTGAGAGACAGACTCCTGAGCTCCAGAGATCCAGTAGAGGGGAAGAAGGTGATTCTTCCCTCATATTCAGGGTGAGTGGTGTTTTGAATATTTGAAATGATTATAGTTTTGTCCCCAAACTTCCAGATAGTGTTTCCAAATGGACTCTCTGGTGGATTCACTGTGGTAAACATCACTGTCCCTCCAACAGCTCCATTCAGAGGACCATCTGGCAACAAACCAACTCCACTAGTTAAACCTGGAAGACACAGAAACACATCTGAGGAGATCTCTAATAATGTGAAACACAGGGAAAACTCACGCACAACTTCACTCTTCTTCAAATCCTTGTAGTTCTTGTCATTGCATTTGATGTATTTTTAATGAAAGAAGCCAACTGCATTTTTTTGTCAATGGTGAACATTTGAAGAAGATCACGAATTATCTTCGATGCTTTTGGAAATCATGTCTAAAAATGTACCCAGTCATTGAATGATCAGAGCGCACAGAAAATACAAACAAAAAAAATCAATTTAAACTACCAAAGCTTGATTATTATTCAGACTTTAGAAGAGTAACATTTTTCTTTTTTCAAATAAATAAAGGTGTCCATATTTCCTCAACCACGTGTACAGGACTAACATTACATTTATTCTCTATTCAGAAAACTTAATGGTTAAAGATACTTAAAAGGCAGCACGTTTGGTACTTAGAATACAATTAGCTCCTCAATCATTGACCTAAATCATTTCCAGCAAATCTTCAACAACTTTAAATATAACAGAAATATGAATGGGGAAAGTAGAACAGGTGTACCTTACCTGTAAAAGACACAGAGACGATAAATAAAGCTAATGTATCCATTGATATTTCTTTGTGAGATTCACGCAGCTAACGGAAGGTCAACCATCAAACTTTGACTGTGCTTATTCATGTGAGCCTTCAACAGCTCCAGTCACACAAGTCAATCATTAAGTTCCTTTGTGTGGAGTTTTAAGACAGTCTGCATGTAGGGTCATCGACTAAAGCTGACAACCTGCGCCCTCTTGTGGTGGGTTATGCATGTTGTTTCTGGTGTAATTATACTATGACACAGGTTCAAAGGTTTATACAATAGCCTGTCCTGCTTTGATAATTCCAGACCTCCTGCCAAGTTCTACTGGTTTATCAATCATTCTTTACATAGCACCAATTCATAATGTTTTTGATCTCAATACGCTTTACAAAAAGAGCAGGTCTAGACCGTACTCTTATAGTACCGTATTGGTCCAAATATAAGACGGCCTTTTTCCCCATCGAAATAGGTCCGAAAAAGTCGGGTCGTCTTATATTCGGGGTCTAGTATTCAGAGCGCAGCTCTAATTGTTCACCTGTCCCTTTAAATGTCAACACACATGACGCGCTCTGGGAGGAGCAGGTGAGTGATGACAGTGAGAGCGAACACAGCGGGGCGGAGGACGTGTGTGAGGAATAGGAGACATCGGAGGAGATGTTTGGCGAGCTTTAGTTTAGCGGTAGTTTAGTTAAAAACGTTGCCTGTATTTCCTCTGTTATTTAAAAATGTTGAAAACATGTTGATAATATTGTTTGATTGTTAATCGATTTGAATGTTGAATCATACTGTACATAGTTCGCCCTTGTGAAACACTTTGTTTTGAAAAGTGCCGAGGCCTATACCGATAAATACGGTATGTTAATTATTATTATAATTATTAATACAACAGGTGTTTAATTCAATGTGTTTTTAATATTGTTATTTTCAAATAAAATGAAGTTCGAGCTGTGTTCTTTATAAAAACAAGATCTGGTCTGCAAATCTTTTTTTCTAAATGAGTGTTGAAAAACGGGGTTCGTCTTATAATCAGGGTCGTCTTATATTCGGACCAATACGGTATTTAAGACCCAACATTTATCTACCATGATCACAGCACAAAACAACATTTAGCAAAGTAACAGTGGCAAGGATAAGCCTCCTTTTATACAGACAGAAACCTCGAGCAGACTCATGTTGAACAGTCATCTGCTGACTCTGTGTTAGGCCAAACCAGTCTCATGTCAAAATGTAAACCGAACGTCCACTTCCTTCCGGTTCGTTGTTGATGGCGTCCATAGCAACCACCATAGCAACAGTAGAAAACGTAACATCCCAACGTTTTTCTATCGAGACCTGAAATAATCTTCGTAGAAACGAACAAATTAAAGATCATAAACATAAACCGAACGAAGATTATGAAGATACAATGTACATTTGTAGCCAGAAAGGTTATCAAAACGACACTTAAGACTCAAACTATCTTAAAATATTGCATTTTCCACCGAAAATAGAAGGGATGTCCGCCATGTCTTTTTTTCGCCAGGGGAAACCTGGGCAGTCACGTGACCTGAGGTATGCCTATACAAAAGAACAGACAAAAGGAAACGTACACACGTCACAATTTTAGAGCCCTTATTGTGAAACTACTACGTTTTGAGCTGTGGACCAACGTAGGTATTACACATTGTGATATGAGACTGGGTTGCCATTTTATAACCACTGGACACCTCTTCAGGTCTAATTTACTATTGCCTCTTTTGTGTTTCAACTTAAACTGCAGAGACTTCCTCTTTTTTTAACAGTTAGTATTTTGGATTATTGGGTTTGCATTCGCTTCCCCTTTGCGAGATACTAAACTTTAACTTTATCGAAATGGAATTAAATAACAAAGATGTGAAAGTTCGTTCAATCGTCCATCCATTCCTTCAGAAACGACAGATTGCATATTCATTTCAGTTAAAAAGCTCAGTTAGTTTACAAGCTCCACTGGTGCAAGTAGTATCCTTATCCTGTAAATGAACTGAAAAACAAATATTTCTTTATTAAAAAAATGATTTAACATGTTTTAAATGTACATTTATAAAAGTATCAATATGGAACAAGCTGCAAACTGAAATCAAACAGGATCAAATATGACACCACACCTGTGTCAAACATTTATCTCAAGCAAACAAACCGAATCACAAACAAAGAATATTTACAGCCTGAAATGTGCAACCAAACAAAGGCAGAGGGAAGTTATCAAAAGCAGTGTGTGCCAGTTTATATGGCAACATGATGCCATGTGATCTCAACACCCGTCATCAACTGTTTGATCATTAACTAAAGTGCTTTCATTGTAAACTCCAAAGTCCAAATAAGTCGTCCATAAAAGTCCTGAGAAAGGAGTGCAGCAGGTTTCTCTGACCACAGGCTCTAATGTGATGATATATTATATCTGATGTGATCAGCTCTTGCGAACCTGAGCGTGAAGTTCAGCTACATTAGCAGCAGGCTGAGGAGCCGGCCTCTTGGTTCTCTGAATGTGGTTTTCATAGGTAGGAGGGGAGGACGTTGAAGGAGGGTTGTTGTTCCCCCTGACCTGAGCGTATTCTGATGTCTCATTTTGACCCCAACTGAACGGCCCCGCCGTCTTTTTTGTGGAAAACTGCGATATCTACATAGTTCAGCTCCTGGAGGGGAAAAAAAAGAGGTGGACCATGTTGAGGAAATTGTTTTATCTATTCATTTTTCGTTTGATATTGTTCTTCCTAAGATGCATAAACAGTTACAATACACTAAAGACAAATGTAAACAACAAAACATATCTGATTAATTTTGCAGAAAAATACACAACAACAAACAACAACAACAACAAACAAGGAAGGAAGGTGTATTCAAGAGTTGTATGAGGCCTTAGACACACATACAATCTACACTTTATTGTGTCTCCTGAGAAATGGTTCCTGGTTCAAAGTCTGATGTTGAGCACTGTGATATTTATAGATCTGAGGAGTCTGAGCCCTCTTTGAGTCAACTTAAATGAACCACACCACAGACTGAGAACTAACACACAAGAGCAAACTGTGAAAGTATGGATCATGAATATACCCTGGTTTATTCATGATCTGTTCCTACATTGTGTTTTACTTTCATTTAAGCCTTTGGATTCACATATACTTGGATTCAAATATATGTGTAAGCACAGTTTTATGTCTGATTCAGCAGTATGGGATACATTTTAATAGGACTACTCCTGTTTTCCAACATATTCTGATTTCTCTGAGTCAGCTGGTTTCTTAACATCATGTAAACACTCTGATTATTTCCTTTTACCTTATTTCCTGAGTAGGCTGTGTTGTCCTGACCTCCACCTCTTTTAAAGAATGAGAAAGAAACAATATTGAGATCAACAAGGAACGTGTAAAATACTGTTAGAATACAGAAAACAAAACAAAAACAAAAACACACATTGGACACTTACCCACTGTCTGGTTGGATGAAGTTTTCTTACTTTTTCTGTTGAGAGAAACAATGAGTCAATATTGTTTATCTTAAGAGACAGACAGCATCTACATTTTGCAACATAAATATAATTAGAATATAAGTGACACCATTTCATATAAACTTTATATTAAAACATTAATGTAAGCTACTAAACTAAACGTATTTTGAATAAAATTAAAACTAAATTAAAAAAAGTTTTTGTCATAAAGCTGAAATATAAATGGAAAAGAAAAATCAAGGTAGGGGCGCCAATAGCCTAAGAGTTATGACGCGCGCTCCATGTACAGAGGCAATAGTCCTCAGTGCAGTGGCCGACTGGCCCTGGGTTCGAATCCGACCCTCTATTGCCAACATTTCCTGTCTTCTTCAGCTCTCCTATCTGATAAAGGCCCAAAGGATATCTTTAAAAAAAAAAAAAAAGCCAATTAATTTTTTTTTTTTCCAACTCATACCATTGATTGTTATCAGAGCACTGTAAACTTCATTTTCTCACAATCACAAGGATTCTTTTGTCTTCTTTTTGACCTTCATCTGTTTGAAACATGATGGTTCTCAGCTGTAGAGAGTTTTCAGTACACTGATGAGTTCATGGTGAGCCATCTAATGTGTGACAGTTTAAAATAACACCGGACAACAAATGTAACCATGAAGTTGTACATTGTCTTAGTGGAGCTCCCCTGAGAACACTATATCGAGAATATGTATTCCTTAGACCAACACAAGTAGCACATAGATGAGTGACTCTTTGTTGAAAATCAACAAAGAGTTGTCCTGCTTCATAAGAGGATAAGTCTTCCTAACTCTCTGGTAGCTGGCTGGTATAAACTTCAATAGTTTTCTAACAACTAGTAAAAATGAACTATTACATTCAAACACACTGGGATAAAAAACAAGCTTTCCCAGTTACATTTCAAAGACCTTTTAACTTACTTCTTTTTGTAGATAAAGTATCCTGCAGCAGCAGCTGCTCCAGGATCACCAAACACCACTACAGCTTGATGGTACTGAAGGTAAGAAAAGAGGAGGAAAACATATTCTGTAAACAGGAACTGTGCCATACTAACAGCAGATACAAAGCATTCATTGACTTCCCCTGATTTCTACCGACAGATTATTGATGCACTATGGGTAATGAACCAGATTCAGTTTTAACAAGGTAAATGAATGCTTGGAATAAAAACCACAAAATCTCCCGACCTCTTATCATTAATTTGAATACTATTTTAAGAACTTTAAGTCTCACAATTTCAATCTGTCGAAGTGCATTTCTAAATTTGATTATTTTAGAGAATCCTTCAGTAATATATCGGCGCTGATAGCCTAGTGCATGAGCTCCATATACAGAGTCTATAGTCCTCCAAGCGGGTGGCTTGTGTTTAAATCTGACCTGTGGCCTTCCTCATGTCTTCCTCATATTCCTACTCTATCCATTGTCCTATAATAAAGGCCAAAAGCCCACAAACAATCAATCTTTAAAGTCTCATGAACTGAAAATAGATCAGACACATTTAATCGGTCAAATTGATCTCAAAGACATGTCACACCAACAGAATCTACAAAAAACACGTCTTGTTACCTTTATAGTCACTCCATGCACTGAAGAAGATGATCTTCCAGTTATGTTATTCTTTGCTTGACAGATGTAGTTTCCACTGTCGGACGCTTCAGCGTTCTTTTTAGTGTACTCAGGAGAATTGAGTATCTCTGTCCCATTCAGTAACCAGGTGAAGTTTGCAGGTGGTTCAGACTCGGCCTCACAGGTTAATGTGAAGGTGTCTCCCAAAGATATGTGATGCTGGCCTTTGATTTGAGCGTGTTCTGGTCCGTCTGAAAAACAGTTATAGTTAAAAAAAATGTAATTCAATGTGTAAACAGGTAAAAATAAGTTGTGTTTTAATGCAGATTTGTATTATGACGCTCATTATTTTGAACAGTTAATGAGTACAGTAGTTTGTCACCTACAGTTCACAACCAAGACGTGTTTAGCTTCCATGGAGTTGCTGATATTACAGGAATATTCTCCTCTGTCTGTTTTTTTTAGACGTTGAAAAGACAGAACTCTGTTGTTATCGATAAAGTATAATGTCAGATTGAGTTAGATCAGATCCATCCTTCATCCACTTTCTGGTAAACACGGAGCCAGCAGCATCACAGGTTAAGTTGACAGAGTTCCCCTCTATTGCCTCCTTTGGTGACGATGTGATAGAAGGATCTGATATTCTCTCGTTGGACAACAGATCACAAAAATTTGTTTTTAAATATATGAAGAAGAAAACACAGGTTCAGCTATAGATTAACAATCAATTTAAA